ATCAAAACAGCATAAAATATGACTGTGAATTGTATTCATTTGTGGTTCAACTAAGCCCTGTGCAATATTGTAGTGACATGACTTCGGTCTGTAAATGTTCAACCAGGCAAGGACTGACTGCATGAGCATCATATGCTTAATGTGGACATGATAACAGTCACCAATCAAATCGGCGCGTCTGACCGCCAGAAACAGTTAGTCGACGTTTCCTGCTAATCGTACGTCACTGTATCGGTGACATGACGTCCGTCTGTAACTATTCGACCAGGCAAAGCAGATACCCTGACCACCAGAAACAGTTAGTCGACGTATCCTGCTAATCGTACGTCAATGTACCGGTGACATGACGTCCGTCTGTAACTATTCGACCAGGCAAGCAGTGACACGATACCCTCACCACCAGAACCAGCTAGTCTTCGTGTACAATAAACATGGATTCATGAAGGCAATTCTTCCCAAGTTCTCCAGGGAGCTCGTTCCTGGCGTCTCTCATGCCCACACTCGCCAACTATACCCATACATACATGCTTACTTTGATTGTAAAGACCATGTGATTACTTCATCAAATATTTGCAGAACTATTCGTTCTAATCTTCGGTAATTGTTCAAAATCATATTTACCACGACATAAGTGATACTGTGATAATATTTACCCACAAAAATGAATCATATACGTACACCAATTTTACTTGATAATTATATTTGTTCAGTCATTACACTTAACACTTGAAGGATTGCCAACATCCTGAAGGATTTCACTCATCTAATTAAGAAATTGAAAGTTGTTCTTAGAATGGATTCATACGTTTTCATCATTTGCAGCTAACGAGTTTCCCATGATATATTTAGAGTGATTCCTACCTCCTGCAGTCGTAGTTTCTACAAAGACATATCTGTCAGAATCCCCATAGTCATTTCTAGCTTGTAGTCGAAATGAATAAATCTCTCCTGGTGTAAGAGCGGTCACTTCTACAACCATCGTCTCGCCTCTGTCATCATAAGATTTATAAACAGTCCAAGTTCTTGTAGCAAACCGACGATACTCAATCAGAAACGTCTGAGGTTTTCCACCATTGAACCCAGGCAGCTACGACAGCCATACCGACGACGAAGTTGCATTAAGCAGATCTCGAAACTGTGTAGGTGTGTTTGGTGGTCCTTACAACAAATAAATCAGAAAATGATTCGTTTCATGTTAGAATGTTGCAGTTTAGTAGTTGTGGAACTAACGTGAACGTAAACCATCAAACGGCAGTTATATCTAGTTATCTGAAAATCCTGAAAGCTTGAATGATCAATGAGAAATCGGAGTTCGGCAACTCACCTGAAGGCACTATGTTGACTGTGTATGTCACTGACTCGCCAACTCCATTGTCCACTGTAAGACTGTAGTCCCCGAAGTCCTGTTCCTGGAGGTTAGTAAGGTGTAGTCTGGCAGTGACTGAGATGTCTGAGACAGGGCTGGAGGAACCAGTGAGGTCCTGGCTGGTGCTGATGGATCTACTCCAGGTGAATGAAGGAAGGGGGTAGGCCAGGATTGCCACAGAAACAGTCACGTCACCATCCAGTCTTGTTGCGTACTTGAGTGGGAGAAAAACTGTCCCATCAACACGTGGGGAACCTTACAGAAAGTATTTCTTAATGACTAAAAGGAAGATCAATATCCATGTGATAACTGTCATGCCCAGCTGTTGATAGCGCATCCTTAATAAACAACTAAGGAACATACATTTAATAACGATAATGATAATAATAATTGGATTTCCTAGTTTCCATCAGAGATGCTCAAAGACGCTGCATACATCGTTAAAAACACAGAAAGTGAAAAAGAAGTTGGGACTCATTTTTAAAGTCTATATCGGTTGTACATAGAAGTAAGGGTTTGTTGCCAATTTTATGACGCAAAAGAATATTTTTAAAACTGCTAAGCAGCTAGTATACTACCCATGAATTGTGTCAACCCACTGTTACTACTACCACCACTGCTACCTTTTCTACCACTAAAAATATCAGTTGTAGTATTAGTGCTGCACACAGATGATTTGCTCAGAAATATCTCACATTTGACGAGCAGCTCCACCCTCTGAGTAACAGGTGCCCCGACGTTGTTGGGGGCGGTACAGGTGTAGTTCCCTCTTTGTCTACAGTCTGCAGACTCAAGTCTATATGTTGCTGTCAGGGAGTTATCTGCCCTTGTCAACTCCTCAGATCCATTCAGTAACCTGATGACTGACCTTGGATTGCCAGCATTATCCAACTCACATCCGAAGATCACTGGATCAGACTCATTGACTGCCACTGACCCACTGCGGGAGTTGCCAGTCATCATACTTATACTTGCAGGATCTGAAAATATATCCCAGAATGCTACACTGTATACTGAACGAAACTAAAATGTTGTCCTCATAAATGTTTGTGTTTGAACACATGCCGTTCATTGACTTTCATTCAGTCAGACTGTTTCTGGCCACCATCTGAACAAAATTCAAAGAATTTCGGACGAAATTGATACTGAATTTAAAAAAACTTCAGGATTTCAACACTATCTGCTTGATTCATCCAAGTCTGAAGTGAAGCTATCCTTTAAAATGAGAATTACGTAAACAAACACAAGTAAGTCAGTAAAACAGCCAGAATAAGTGGATGGAATGTAGCAAATCCTGTACGGGCCAGGAGTTCCTTCATGGTGTTATATCTGTATATTCTGTTTCTATACGTTTGCTTCACAAGGTAAACTTCTCAATACAACACCGTTCTCAGTGTTCTTGCAGTTATCGAAAACTGGCCATAAATGTTGGTTCCACGTCAGCTGATCAAAATTGCAGAAACATGATAACAAACACGTATTTTGTATTTATGCTGTTTTAACTAAGTTCCCACAGTTAACAATGACCTCCCTTACAGACATCCGTGTTGTTATAGCTAAAATGATACACACATACACTATTCATGCTCACAGTTGACAATGACCTTGACAGTTGACCTCCATGTTAGACGTCTTTGCTGCTTTAGCTAAAGTGATACACACTGACACTATCTGTACTCACAGTTGACAATGACCTTGACAGCTGACCTCCATGTTAGACGACTCTGCTGCTTTAGCTAAAGTGATATATACAGGCACTATCTGTTCACAGTTGACAATGACCTTGACAGTTGACCTCCATGTTAGACGTCTCTGCTGCTTTAGCTAAAATGATACACACAGACTCTATCTGTACTCACAGTTGACAATGACCTTGACAGTTGACCTCCATGTTAGACGTCTCTGCTGCTTTAGCTAAAGTGATATATACAGACACTATCTGTACTCACAGTTGACAATGACCTTGACAGTTGACCTCCATGTTAGACGGCTCTGCTGCTTTAGCTAAAGTGATACACACGGACTCTATCAGTACTCACAGTTGACAATGACCTTGACAGTTGACCTCCATGTTAGGCGACTCTGCTGCTTTAGCTAAAGTGATACACACAGACTCTATCTGTACTCACAGTTGACAATGACCTTGACAGTTGACCTCCATGTTAGACATCTCTGCTGCTTTAGCTAAAGTGATACACACAGACACTACTCATGCTCACAGTTGACAATGACCTCCCTTACAGACATCCGTGTTGTTATAGCTAAAATGATACACACATACACTATTCATGCTCACAGTTGACAATGACCTTGACAGTTGACCTCCATGTAAGACGTCTCTGCTGCTTTAGCTAAAGTGATACACACTGACACTATCTGTACTCACAGTTGACAATGACCTTGACAGCTGACCTCCATGTTAGACGACTCTGCTGCTTTAGCTAAAGTGATATATACAGGCACTATCTGTTCACAGTTGACAATGACCTTGACAGTTGACCTCCATGTTAGACGTCTCTGCTGCTTTAGCTAAAATGATACACACAGACTCTATCTGTACTCACAGTTGACAATGACCTTGACAGTTGACCTCCATGTTAGACGTCTCTGCTGCTTTAGCTAAAGTGATATATACAGACACTATCTGTACTTACAGTTGACAATGACCTTGACAGTTGACCTCCATGTTAGACGGCTCTGCTGCTTTAGCTAAAGTGATACACACGGACTCTATCTGTACTCACAGTTGACAATGACCTTGACAGTTGACCTCCATGTTAGACGTCTCTGCTGCTTTAGCTAAAGTGATATATGCAGACACTATCTGTACTCACAGTTGACAATGACCTTGACAGTTGACCTCCATGTTAGACGGCTCTGCTGCTTTAGCTAAAGTGATACACACGGACTCTATCTGTACTCACAGTTAACAATGACCTTGACAGTTGACCTCCATGTTAGACGACTCTGCTGCTTTAGCTAAAGTAATACACACAGACACTATCTGTACTCACAGTTGACAATGACCTTGACAGTTGACCTCCCCTGTAGATAATCTGTGTTGTTTTACCTAAAGTGACACACACAGACTCTATCTGTACTCACAGTTAACAATGAACTTGACAGTTGACCTCCATGTTAGACGTCTCTGCTGCTTTAGCTAAAGTGATACACACAGACACTATCTGTACTCACAGTTGACAATGACCTTGACAGTTGACCTCCCCTGGAGACTACCACCAGGACACACACTGCCTGTGTTGACCCTCCCAGTACAGCTGTACTCCCCGTCATCCGATCTGTTCAGGTCAGCTTTCATCACACTACTTCCTGGTATGGGGGAACCATTGAATGTCCAGGAGATGGCAGCATTGTCAGGATTACCATCAACTGAGCATGTGAGAGACAGGCTCTCTCCTTCCTTCCTGGTCTGTGTGGCAGCCGGAGTTATTGATGGTGCTCCCACATCTGACAGATTACCAGAAGAGTTTCGGGTTATTCATAGGTCTGAGTAGGGTTTAAATAGTATTTGCATTCAGTTTATTTAACATGGAAGAAAGAAAATTAAACAAATAATTCACTTTACCACGTAATATGCTTCTTCTCTTAGTTTTCTAGGCTGCATGAAGTACATTCGCACACTGACATGTTACGACCAGAAAAACTGTGCCCGTATGACTCTTACAATATACACTGAGCTGCCTGGCATCTGACTGTGGACGTGGGGACCCTGCTCTGTCGGTGTAGGTGTTACCAGCAGCACATCTGATGTCAGCTCCGTTGTCGGCCTTCACTGGAGAGAAAGTGTAGGAGCTGCCTGTGTGGACTGCTATGCTGTTCTTTGTCCAGTAGAAGGTGACCGGAGGGTTGCCGTGGTCAGGGGACGAAGAGCAGGTCAGTGATGTAGACTTTCCTTGACACAGAGTACCAGGGTTGGTTGTGTTGGGTTTGTCGGGTGGATCTGTAACACATATATATAGTGTGATACATTGACGAGGTCAGTGATGTAGACACAGAGTATCAGGGGTGGTTGTGGAGGGTTTGTCGGGTGGATCTGTAATACATATATATACAGTGTGATACATAGCTGAGGTCTGTGGGGGACATAAGAACAGGCTGGCGAAAAAGCCTCATTTACACAAAGTACCAAGGCTGGAGTTTGCAGGGCGATCGTGTGGTACAGCATTCAACCCCAGAGACGAATCCTGGTGGACTGACATACTGAGGTTGGCTTCTTTTCTCCACCGTGAAGAGATCTTCAAACAAAACATCCCAGTATTTGTATACATAAATATTCACAATACACAGCAAATGTCTACGTCACAGTCTCATCGTATCTATATTATGTATCTGTACATCTGCCCCAATACTCACAATACACAGTAAATGTCTGTGTCACAGTCTCATCGTATCCTCCATACACCAACGTTGCTTGACACTGACACTGTCTGGAGTTCTGGTGTTCAGTGACTAGGAAGGTGAGAGAGGATGTCTTGGTTCCCCCGCTGCTGGACTCACTGCCGGTGTTGCTGGTGTTGTAACAGGACCATGTGATGTCGGCCAGAGGATTGCCCCCCCGTCACTCTGCACCTGATGGTCTTTTGGACTCCAGCGTACATCACGGAGGTGAAATCCTGGACTGTAGGACGACCTGGAGGTGGGTCTGTAGAAATAACAGATGAGTATCAAGTTTATATATACATCACAGAGGTGAAATCCTTGACTGTATGGCGGCCTTGAGGTGGGCTTGTGGAATCAACAGATGAGTGTCATGTTAGTTTATATGTACATCACGGAGGTGAAATCATGGACTGTAGGGCGGCTTGGAGGTGGGTCTTTAGAATCAACAGATGAGTATCATGTAAGTTTATATATACATCACGGAGGTGAAATCATGGACTGTAGGGCGGCTTGGAGGTTGGTCTTTAGAATCAACAGATGAGTATCATGTAAGTATATATATACATCACAGAGGTGAAATAATGGACTGTAGGGCGGCTTGGAGGTGGGGCTGAAGGATCCAAAAAATGAGTATCATGTAAGTTTATACGTACATTACAGAGGTGAAATCATGGAGTTTAGGCAGGGTTGGAGGTGGGTCTATAGAATCAAAAGATGAGTATCATGTAAGTTTATATATACATCACAGAGGTGAAATCCTGGACTGTAGGGAGGCCTGGAGGTGGGTCTATAGGATCAACAGATGAGTATCATGTAGTTTATATATACATCACAGATGTGAAATCCTGGACTGTAGGGCGACCTGGAGGTGGGTCTGTAGGATCAACAGATGAGTATCATGTAAGTTTATATGTACATTACAGAGGTGAAATCCTGGACTGCATGGCGGCTTGGAGATTGGTCTGTAGAATCAACAGATGAGTATCATGTAAGATTATATATATATATATAAATCACATAGGTGAAATCATGGACGGTAGGGCGGTCTTGATGTGGGGCTGATGGATCCAAAGATAAGTATAATGTAAGTTTATACGTACATCACAGAGGTGTAAGGATTTATGTACATAGGTCCATTCAAACACGCGAAATCAACTTACACTTAACATCCCCAAGTGACAGAGTCTTGTTGACGACCACTGCTGTCCTGGTGTTTCTCACGCTGCATCTGACATCTGGCTTGCTCCTGACAGGACGGAATGTCCGAGTCTGTGACCACGTGGTACTCGGTGATTTTGTCACAGATCCTGTACTTCCTCCTGTAATGTCCGACCCGTCACTGTAGTCCCAGGTGAAGGTCACGCCAGGAGACACGGAGGTCAAGGTTTTACATGTTAAGGTCAGGTCACGGTCCTCCGCTACCACAGTGTTTGCTGGTTTTGTCACTCTCACCTGGTCTGTGTCTGGTCCGTCTGATACACAGTATACAAAGTTTACAGTTAGCTCGCTCATGACGAATAACTGTTAGTCTAAGGGTTAAGAATCTGTTCAGTGGAATGCACCTTGCTTTAATCTCTATTTGTAGATATTTACTTCACTAGTTATCATTCATCGTAGTTACTCTATACCCGTATGCTATATTTAAAATTCATTTTTATCAAATTTGACTTTGCTCTCAAAACGTGTACAAACATGGAAGAAATCCTAAATGTTGGCATATTTCCTCAGAGCTTTGTGAGACTGTCTCTACTCATCTTTAGTTGGGATCTGTTAGACTGCCTTCATTCAACAAACTTCCAGTATAGCTCAGCAGCATTGAGTCACGCTATGTATCCTGACACCAAACTTCCAGTGTCGTCGTGGTAGACTGTGTCTACTTGTACCACACCTCCAGTGTGGCCCTGTTAGACTGTGTCTACTTACACCAAACCTCCAGTGTGGCCCTGTTAGACTGCGTCTACTTACACCAAACCTCCAATGTGGCTCTGTTAGACTGTGTCTTCGTACACCAAACCTCCAGTGTGGTCCTGTTAGACTGTGTTTACTTACACCAAACCTCTAGTGTGGCTCTGTTAGATTGTGTCTACTTACACCAAACCTCCAATGTGGCCCTGTTAGACTGTGTCTTCGTACACCAAACCTCCAGTGTGGTCCTGTTAGACTGTGTTTACTAACACAAAACCTCCAGTGTGGCTCTGTTAGATTGTGTTTACTTACACCAAACCTCCAGTGTGGCCCTGTTAGACTGTGTCTACTTACACCAAACCTCCAGTGTGGCTCTGTTAGACGGTGTTTACTTACACCAAACCTCCAGTGTGGCTCTGTTAGATTGTGTTTACTTACACCAAACCTCCAATGTGACTCTGTTAGACTGCGGCTACTTACACCAAACCCCCAGTGTGGCCCTGTTAGACTGTGTCTACTTGTACCACACCTCCAGTGTGGCTCTGTTAGACTGTGTCTACTTACACCAAACCTCCAGTGTGACTCTGTTAGACTGCGGGGATGTCTGACCGTTGATGTTTTCAGCCTGACAACGAAAGCTCCTGCCCTGGTCACTCCTACTGACAGTGAATGTGACGGAGCTTGTTGTCTTCACCATGACACCAGATGTCGTTTCTGTGCTGACTGTAGGTGACGTCCCTGATGGCAAGGACTCCCAGGTCACAGTAGAAGTGGGGAAACTGGCTGAGGTCACGCAGGTCAAGGTCAGGGATTGACCTGTCACTAGTCCTATCTTCTCATTATCAGAACTGATGTTTGTCAGTGTCACAGAGGTAACTGGGACTGGAATAGCAAGTTGAACTGTAATAACAACTGACATTAACAGCAATGTACTGTCACATCGATAGCATGTTTGATTCGCCATGGTATGTTCTAATGATGAATATGTCATGAGGTGGATTCCATTTCAAACATATCTATTTCTACGAAAATGTGTTGCTTGATCAACAAACACGCGAATAGAAACTTATGCAATGCCTTTCCCTTGATACACAATGTACATGCAATCAACAATTGAATTATTAGTACAGAAAGAGAGTCATTTTAAAAAAAGTTTCTACATTTAGATTAGATCGCTCAACGTAAGCCGGAGTCAGGAGTGAATATTTTGTTTTGCATATTGTATGGATTAGAACTGTTTTGTTACTTATCACTACTTCAAGACAAATACTTGTATCTGTCTATCATCGTCCATACATGCATGAACATACATTAGACCACATTACACAAAGATTAAGCGAACATATCCATAATCATTTAGTGAAATTTATATCAACACCTCAAACAGTCGCATCAGTATTAACCACCAACCAGGTAATTGATGGTATAATTCTAAGCCAGTGTTCTACTCACCAGGGAACTGTATGGTGGTTGAAGTGACAGACTTGGTATACGTCGGGGGATCAAAGGAGTCATGTTCCACACTGACAGTGAGAGACACCTGCCTGTTGTAGAGACTGACTGTGTTCCCTGGTAGAGACAGAGTGTTGGTTGTCTGGACCTGACCTGATGGACATGATCCCTGGGTGGAAGATATACTGCTGGGAGGGACGCCACTCACACCCTGTAAACACAAAACAGTAGTTAGATAGACAGACTGTGTTCCCTAGTAGAGACAGCGTGTTGGTTGTCTGAATCTGACCTGATGGACATGATCCCTGAGTGGAAGGTGTACTGCTGGGAGGGACACCACTCACGCCCTGTAAACACAAAACAGTAGTTAGATAGACTGACTGTGTTCACGGTAGAGACAGAGTGTTGGTTGTCTGGACCTGACCTGATGGACATGATCCCTGGATGGAAGATGTACTGCTGGGAGGGACGCCACTCACACCCTGTAAACACAAAACAGTAGTTAGATAGACTGACTGTGTTCCCCGGTAGAGACAGAGTGTTGGTTGTCTGGGCCTGACTTGATGGACATGATCCCTGGGTGGAAGATGCACTGCTGGGAGGGACGCCACTCACACCCTGTAAACGCCAATCAGTATTTAGATACTAGACTGACTGTGTTCACGGTAGAGACAGAGTGTTGGTTGTCTGGACCTGACCTGATGGACATGATCCCTGGGTGGAAGATGTACTGCTGGGAGGGACGCCAGTCACACCCTGTAAACACAAAACAGTAGTTAGATAGACTGACTGTGTTCCCCGGTAGAGACAGAGTGTTGGTTGTCTGGACCTGACCTGATGGACATGATCCCTGGGTGGAAGATGCACTGCTGGGACGGACGCCACTCACACCCTGTAAACACAAAACAGTAGTTAGATAGACTGACTATGTTCCCTGGTAGAGACAGGGTGTTGGTTGTCTGGACCTGACCTGATGGACATGATCCCTGGGTGGAAGGTGTACTGCTGGGAGGGGTGGACTTGTAAGAAGAGTCTTACCTGTTGGTATCGCCATGTGATGACGGCGGCAGGGGCAGCACACGGAGTGGTCACAGTGACGGAGATGGTGTTCTGTGGTGTCACGGAGGACGGGAGAGAAGTCAGTTGTGGAGAGAAGGTGACAGAGCTCCAGTCCAGTACAGCTGATAAGAAACATATAAATATAATTTGGTGTAGATATTTATAGGTCTTTCTTAGATGCTTCGGTAAAAGATTATTGGCGCTGACATATCAGGCGATAAAATACACTTTTAAATTACGTCTTTTCTTGAACTTAATGCAAATCTTCCATTGTTGCTTTATTATTTTATATACTGTAATTGCATTTAGCCAATCAAATGTGTTTTAGCAGCAAGACAAATTATTAGCTCTACTATTCATTATAATCACGACACACGGTAGCCCTGTCATTCAAGGCGGGGCAATTTGCTGTGCAGAGTTGTGTCTCTTAGTCAAACCAGATAACTATGATCATAGGTTCGAAACCCAGCACCATGCACATTCATCACTATGGACATTTCACCGATATCAAGCTGGTAGGTTGTGAAAAACTAAATATTGTTAAAATTCAGGTCACATCGGCATAAACATCAGGTGAAATCCTCGAATGGGTCACTATGCTCGACAGTGTGGCTCCTGACAGAGTTTCTTGGTACAGTCCTGTCCGACGCAGTCCTAACCAAGATCTGCCTCTGTTCAGCCAGCAGTGGATGGATACCAGATAGAATGAGATGGTAATATCACTTAACCATACAGAACCTCAAAGACAGTTTAGGTCGGCTTTGAAAGTGATATTCTTCTTGGGAAAACGCCATACAAATGGACTGTTATCATTATGATATTAGAAACGATGAAATCGCTTGGCAGAGTTGAGTACTCTTGGAGTGCCAGAAACCAACCCTTCCTCCCTCCCTCCTTTCACTCCGCTCCCCTCCACTTCACTCAGCTCAACTCCGCCCTATTCCACTCCGCTCCGCTCCTCTCCTCTCCTCTCCTCTCCTCTTCTCTCCTCTCCGCTCCTCTCCTCTCCGCTCCGCTCCGCTCCACTCCACTCCACTCCACTCCACTCCACTCCACTCCACTCCACTCCACTCCACTCCACTCCACTCCACTCCACTCCACTCCACTCAAGGTTTAGGGAGCTTGGTAAATTAGCAAGGTATTTCATTACAACAATGTGTTGTGATGTCTGTTTTTCAATTCTATTTGAATCTTATATTATTAATCCTGCACATGCAATGATTCACAATACACTATCGTCCAACAGAAACGATACAAAATTAAAAGTATTAATATTCTGAATAGAAATGTATATTTTTTTATTAGATATGAGATGGAAACAATCGCCTCCATTCAACAGTCAAGAATCATGAAAATAGTTGGGTTTGGGCGCAACGTTTTCGTTCTAACTGTCTTAAAGCATGAAAATTGCTCCCGCGTGCAGCGTGAATCACGTGGCGTCGTTTTAACGCATCAACATCGACGTCGACGTCTGCAGTGGGCACGCACCGTTCGACGATGGCAGAACAGGCATTGGCAAAGTGTCAAGTTCCTCATAATCCATAATGATGGCAGGGCTCGAGTCCATCGAAGACGAGGCGAACAATACCAACGTAACTGCGTCCAGGAGGTGATTCCATTTGGCGGAGGCGGTGTCATGGTTAGTGTCATCTGTGGTGATGTGAAGACAGATCTCATTGTGGTGACTGGTAATTTGAACGCTCGAAGGTACATCGACCGGATACTGTGCCCAGTTCTTGCAACAACACCAAAACCGCATCATATTTCAACAGGACAACGCCCCTCCACATACAGCTCGTGTTAGCACAGATTTCCTCCAAAGAAATAACGTCAACGTGTTGCCTTGGCCTGCTCGGTCACCTGAAATGTCACCAATTGAGCATATCTGGAACCTTTTGGCTCGACAAGTGCGTGCACGACCTGTGCTTCCAGGAAACAGACAGCAGCTTGCTCAGGCTCTCCAGGAGGAGTAAAGGAGGATACCCGTGCATGTTATCCAGCGTTTGGTCTACTCAGTACGACGTCGAGTTGCCGCATGTATTGATGCACGAGGTGGACATACCAGATACTGATCGCTCTGATAACATTCACAGTATCATGATGTGTATATACATTGTGACCTGATCGAATACTGGACAAATGACACTCTCTTGTTTCAAGGCTTTTTCCAAGTTTGTTGTCATCGATATTTAGATGAATCTCTGAAAATTATGGTGATTATTCATCTGTTTATCAAATACAAATGTCTTTTCAAACATTATGTGTTGATTCTTTATGTTATAGTCAAAATATTCTTTGTATCGTTTCTTTCGGACGTTAGTGTAAATCGACGATTTATCATACGATACTTTACCCAGCGATACACATGTACTTGTATTGTTTCAAACATACACCTACTCAATCATAATAATTTCCAGCAAAATGGCCAGTTTAAATACATCCATTCCATTATACAAGGACTCTTAACCCACAGACTTCACCGCCACATTGACGTTCATTTATTATTGTTCTGTTCGATCCCTGGGTAGCTCAGCCCTTTAAAAACATCGAAAAATAATCATACTTGTCATAGTTTTTAAATTCCGCCGTAACTAATAAAACGCGACACGCGACAATGCGACAACGCGACAACGCGACATTTAGATGAAATGTCGCGTTGTCGCATTGTCGCACGTCGCGCTTTGTTAAAATATTGAGTATAGTATGTGTTATAACGTATTGACTAACGTGACAATGCGACAACGGGACATTTTGATGAAATGTCGCGTTGTCGCATTGTCGCGTGTCGCGCTTTGTTAAAATATTGACTATAGAATGTATTATAACCACAGGGGTTCGAATCACTGTTTGGCCTCTCTTCGATAAACATCGACAGTTTCCGTGGATTTTTAATTACTCGGAAACAGAAAAAGGCTCAGCCTGGTTCCCAGGGTCTGCTGCGCTAACGCTTCGACACTGAAAAAAACATTTATTATCTCATTCTTTTATAATGTATTATGAGGAAATAATCGATAAAATTCAAACCATTGTTTTTTAACTGCGAGTGTGCTTGTAAAATTGTCGGCTCTCAGTAGCACTTATACAGAAAAATATGCATTTATTCCTTATCTTCAGTTACTTTGGTGCATATAAGTTGTATTAAAATTAAACAGATCTATCCATGTACACACATTCTTTCGAAGAATGTTGTCTGAATCGGTTTGCAAAACAGCATGAAAAGGTTTTACCAATATTATTCAGAAATATTTATGATTAAAAGAAACATGGGGAAGCAAATGATCTGTTCATAAAACTACACACAATTATACTGCTGAATACAATGAATTTGACACACTATATTACTAAAATGAATATATATAAATACACAGTATGATCAGCATGCTAATACACTACCATAAAAATATATATGTTGCCTTAAATGTACATATTTGTGAAGATGAACGTTTAAGACAGATGTACATTCTACTCTTTGTGACATTTACCAATGAAACTTGTCCTGAGTACTGTAGTTTTTATGGCTTGAAGCCAGTATGAGAGTATACATTTGCTATACATGTATATTGATAATTTTGAGCATGATAACCCTGGTGATATTATAATAGATCTGATACATGTTAATAATCATATAATTTGATATCTGCAATTATTCAACAGTTAACAAGTTTGATTAAATGCTACAATGGAGTCTTTTTGCATTACTTTATTTATACTTTAGGGCTGTGCATACAAACATAGTTCAACACATAATCAGTGATTGTGCTTTGCATTTTGGAGAATAATAATAATAATAATAATAATAAGTCCATTTGTATAGCGCCCTATATCCAATCACCAAGTGGTTGTCAGAATGACAAGTGCTCTGAATTGGTTGACCAGTGCACTATTGATATTTTTTTAAGATTAAACTTTATTGTGTGTATCTAAAAAGTGTGTCTTTTATAGAAATCTGGGTATTGTGTTAACACCTAGACTTATTTGGACTAAAGCAGTAACTACTCTTGGCGTACTGAGTGAAAAGGCAATTATGACACTGTGCAGATATTATAGAAAGTTGGAAATATACCATGTCCAGATTTATTTAAATATTTGATGCTATGATTGTTCCTATAGTGTGTTTATGGTGCAGAAGTATGTGGCACCTCATTATTATTGAGCTATTGAAGATGTTCAGTATAAAATGTGTAAATGGTTTCTCAAAACAATGGTATGGTTTGGGGAGAATGTGGCACAGCCCCTCTCAACACCACAAGGGCTATTAAATATTGGTGCAGGCTTCTGTATTTGGATGAACGCAGACTGCCAATGCTACCTAATGGATGACTCTGGCTGTACCACATGGGCTACTCATATTAAAAATATTCTGTTTAGACTTGGATTTGAATATGTGTGGTTAACACAAGATGTGGGAAATATGAAGATATTTAATCTCCTCTTTAAACCATGATTATTTAGCAACCTACAACTATCATGGTGTTGTTCCATCAACAGTTTATCTGTTCCGTCTATCTTTATGCCATAATGTGTCCGTTTTCCGATTACATAAAAAAAACCTGTAGCTATATCTGGGCTTGGAGTGCGATTGGTAATGGGGTTCATTCATTTTTATTTTTATCATAGTCATGTGATTTTACATATCCAGTAGATAACGGGCATCACGAATGTGTTGTAATACTATGATCACGTAAAATCATTATGCCTATTGCATCACCATGATCAACTCCATGCAAAATGGAAGAATAGAAATGGATGTTACTTTGAAATGATATATAATAATATATGCAAAATGAGTAAAAATAATGAATATATTCTTCTTTATTATTATTCCCTTTTTGAAAAATACATATTTGAATTAATCAGTTATGTGTTACACATGTATTAGATCTATTTATTAATAATTACATAATGTGATAAAAAACTATTTTCGAGTTACTCTTACTGGGTGCTCAGTTTATTTCATGCGTACAGCAGGAGAAAATGGGACCAAATCATCGAATTATATGTCATCAAACATGCTAAAATAAAGATGCTAACTTTTATGTACGATTTGGACACAATAGCGAGCTGACACGAAATATCAACGCACATGTCGGTGTTGAAAATGGGGTCTTTGTTATTGTAACGATTTACGTTTCTCGAACCTGCATAAATAACGTTTTCGTACACTGAAATATTTACGGTAGCAGTCGATGTTTACCGAAGAGAGGCCAGACGTTTGTTCGAAGCAGAGGGTAGTGCTAGTGCGAGGGTCAGCGTTCAAATATCAAAAGCAGGTAGACAAATTGAATACGATGAGCAGAAAGCTAAAAGAATAACCTACAAGCACAACACAATGTTTTGTGAAAAAATAGTCCGGCTGTCCGGTTTTCGATCAGGTTTTGAGCATCGAGCGTGTCACCCCTTGTGTATGTTATGTAATGAGTGTAGCGGTAGAATTGTCTTAACAATTCATTTCTTAACCGATTTCGTTCAAATTTTAAATATAGGTTAATCATAACATAAAACAACAATATATGATTGCAAAAGTCTAGATTTTTTTTTCTAAAAATCATTGTCCAAACAATGATTCGAACTCCTGTGGTTATAATGCCTACTATAAATAATATTTTAACAAAGCGCGACACTAAACGCGACTCGCGACAATGCGACAACGCGACATTTTCATGAAAGCGTGTCGCGTTTTAGTCAATACGTTATAATACATACTAAACTCAATATTTTAACAAAGCGCGACACGCCTCAATGGGACAACGCGACATTACATCAACATTCCTTCAGCCTTAGGCGCCTTTACAGTACGTTAACAATGGCATTATAAAACACAAACGTATCAGATGTGTGTGTATGTTTAAACGTATCAAATGTGAACAATGAAGCCTTGATATTTAGTTATCTCGTTCCATTAGCCAGGACTACGTGATGTGTGTATGTTTAACACGTATCGTCTGGAGTATGATCGTCTAGAGAGATGTGTATGTATGTTTAACACCGTATATCGTCTATGTTTAAAATATGTGTGTGTATGTTTAACACCGTATCGTCTGGAGAGTGTGTGTGTACCGTATCGTCTAGAGAGATGAGTGTGTATGTTTAAAACCGTATCGTCTGGAGAGATGTGTGTGTATGTTTAACACCGTATCGTCTAGAGAGATGTGTGTGTATGTTTAACACCGTATCCTCTTGAGAGATGTGTGATGCCTGGACATAGCAAATTAAACACAATTTCCAACCTCATTCACAGTTAATAGGCTGGCATTTATCAACACGTTGTTAACACACTTAAAACCCACCTGCAAACTGTGACAGTGTTATGTTGTTAGATGATGTAGCACCATCACTACATGTCCATGTCCCGCTGTCTCTGGTGGAATCTGCTGATGCGATGTCTAGAGTCAGGATCCTGGATGTACTGTCCAGACTCACATTGTATCCTGACACAGATGTCCCACACCTGCCTGATGATGAGCAGCCTCCCTGGGTAGCACCCTTGTAGAAGCGAGTAGTTCCAATGATAGCTGCATCTAGTGTACAGGTGATGCTGAAACTGACACCCTCCACAGGAACACGTCTGTTGGTGGCAAGAACCGGAGCTGACTCTGAAACAGTATGGCCCGCAGGTTGTATGTTTTACATGTTGATAATGACCTTGTTATGTTATAACACTGTTTTGAACAGTAAGCCGTTTGGGTGTGTCAGTTTGATATTGGGGACAGTAATGCAGGTGTTATATATGTTTATGTTTATATAAGGAACAGCACAACGCCGCTGGTGCCTCTAACATGTTGTTATATGTACACTCGATGTAGTTCAGTTATTTATTTCTCAATTTCAAAGTTCCATCAGGAACGATACCTTGTGCATGTATAGAACATATAGTATTTTAGTAACGTCTATTCTTTAAGTTTGATATGATTTCACCAAAAAGACCTAGTATGGCAGAGAGCCTGTCGGCGTCTTATTCTCTTTTGGTTTTAAATAATCAATTATATTGCCTAAGCTTAATGTATATTTCTGCAAATATTGATCTTCTTTCACAACATTAAGATTATCACTTGAGGATGAGTTGGATTTAATGCCGCATTGAATATCTTCCCAGTCACATTATTGGCAATCGCCCTGCTTCAGAAGAGGCACTGTGCAGATCTGTGAGTCCTTATCGGGGGAACTCTTTGAGCAGTGTACTAAGGGAGGTAACTCTAACCAAAGAAAGCCCCATTTCTCTTCAGGGCAGACTGTTCACGCTTGTGTGTTGATACTTGCGTATCCAAAGCCATATGACAAGAAATATGACCAGATACATGGCATTATCTGCCAAGTCGGATGTGCTAGAGAGAAAACCACCTGTCAAAGTAGATAATCCCCAGCACAAGGTTTGTATGGAAGTTATGTGTCCTGTCAATGCCGTCAAGAGGTGCACAGGTCCACACAGGTTAGAGAACGTTTGCTATACACAGACATCATTCAGTATAAGTGACAATGTGTACCTACCACAAGGACGTATCCGGGCTGTATCCAGCAGAATAAGTAGTGGAATCAACTCCAGAAAAACACGTCGACACATTTCGCTGACTAAAGCGTGCAGCCCACCGTCATGCACAGGAAGAGGCAGTGTATGTAGAGCTGACAACACCAATTTACTTCCGGGTAGCTGATAGACAGGCTGCTGTGTATAGGTATGTACACGTATTCAAATTTCATACATTGTACATGTATCATATTTGGAGATCTACACATTTACAATGTTCCGCCGAGTCCATGATCCCCTCTACCGTGAGTCTGCTTGTTGTCAGAAGTATCAGGTTCACTGCCAACAGACATTAATTTTTCAGTATCAACTTTTCTTCAACGACTTAACCCTTACACTGCTGAAATAATTTGATGAGTGTCCTGCAGTAGAGCAGTTTATAACAACATTTTAACAGGCGATATGAGAGAAGAAACATTTGAAAGTTCATTTGTCTGATGGAACAGTTGTGTCGGTTTTGAGCGTGAACGCAGAATGTCAGCTTGAGGAAAGTCCCATGTTCTGTTGTCCTCAGAAACGTATGTACACGGATTTAGGGCGGAGGATCACTATATGGATGAATCTGTGATTCAGTCTACAACAACGTGGAATAACCAACGAGAGCAGTAGTACATAGGTCCAGAAAATTCATTTCACTCCTACATGCTTCCACTTATTTGTCAAATGGCAACAGTCTACAACATGATAACATGTATAGTTAAACTAAATATATACTGTCGATGTTGATGGGTCTAAACATACATATATGTATCATTTCTTACAATTTCCCTCTACGTCACCAAAGAAATAATATAAACTGGAAACACAATTTCATAAATGCATTATCGAGATGCTTGTTTGTTACCGACCTGTCAAAACAAGCTTGGAAATATCTATTTATTAACTTTATTTGTTCGCGTGTCTGCCGTCATTGTGTTAAACGAACAATTCACTCAATTAATACCTGGTTCATATCTAATACGTACATACGATTATATTTATAAGTAGCCCATGTTGCCGTATACATGACAATATTTCGTTTATGTTGTCACATTATATCAACACAAATATTGTTTGCTTCCTACTTTGATACAGATGTGGGGATGGACAAACTGTGTACTGGGCCTCAGATCAAGATGTTATCAACCAGCCACCACAGTGTTTATCTAGTCGCCATGTTGTTTGATGACGTCTAATCCTGTCGATCATCTGTGATGCGTTGTCGTGTCAGTTTTTAATGTTGCCGTGTCAAACTATCACCACAATGGGAATATGGCAGTTAAATGACAAATCAAGAATCACCCTCCGCAGTTCCTCAATAGGTCTGGTAATAGCCTGTACTTGTCACCTTAGTAGCAAGGCAACTCTGACAATCCACCACAAAGTGTGCAATGAAGTCTTACACCAGCCACCACTCGACCCTTTGCATCACTGAATACTCACCACGCCTGGGGACATCGTGTACAGGGCTTTTGTTAATAACAATTGTTACTTTATTCTCCCTCACAGGGGACTATCTGGTGTATGTTCGTGTTTGGTAGACGAGTTCTGAACGATTTCTTTGCAATAAGAATGGAAAGTATTCGGAAAGTTCACTGCACTCACGTTCAACGTTCTGTTCTGCTGCAAAGACCTATACAAAACACGAATAATGTGGATCCGTATAACCAACCTCGGCTTACAATACGCACATACAGACGACTGACTGTCTTGTGTTCAGAAGTATTCCACGAGTGACAAAAAGGCTCACTATATGTGTTGACATGATATTCAAACGACTGATTATGACATTGTAATTTCAAACCTATCGGGTCTGTGTAGCAGTTTACAGAAGTGTTTTTGAAGTTGTAAACGGATATGTTCTATGGTGTTAACAGATATCTGCAGATATATAAATTATACTTTTTATGGCGAAACAACGATTTTAAACACGTTTTTATATATTATTACTTTAAGATACTACTGATAATATATTTATGTAGAATTGTTAGCATAGCAGGTAATGTCCCAGTAGGGATGGAAACGTGTGTATTTGGTGCAGTGGATATCGGATTAAACTTTCTAGTTCAATGAAACAGTGAGTGATATAAAATGCATATTTTAGAAAATGTTGTCTTAATACCGACACACGTGAGTGAGTGAGTTTAGTTTTACACCTCACACAACTCAGCAACACTCCAGCTATATGTGTCAACCACGACACCAGATCCCGTTAGTATTACGACAAGCATGGGTTACTTAAGATCAGTTCTAATCCGGTTCCTCACGGGTCGACAAAAGTGAAGTTGGCACTAGTAATGCGATATATATTCAGCGTGAAAACAAACTTTATTTTCTATCAACACGATATTCATTGCGAGAAAAGTGTGATACAAACAGACGACATATCAACGTAGCTATTTATGTCCAGCATAAGTTCCTCAAATGTGGTTGAGTATGTACAATATAAAGCCGTGTGTATGTTTCCTTACAGTGAGAGCGGTTCACGTCAGATGGCTGGGTGGTGTGTGATTGACTTGTTCCTATGCTATACTATGCTATGTTCCTTTGGGCGGGCTATGCCAGCTGTGTGACAGGATTTCATTGTGACATCTCCTCACATGAACTCATATTTAACACACGTAATAAACATTATAAGGTATTCCCTCAATATGAACACAAGGTTGTGCAAGAAAGTTAGTGTCAACCAGTCAGATTCCAATGTCATGTGACATAAGATATTGCTATGTTTTGTGTTTTAAATCTGCAATGTATTGGATTAATATAAGTTAAGATCGCTCGCATTTGGATTGGACGTCAATCCTTCATTGTTACATGTCCTCCCGTGAACTCATCTGTTATAGATCAAAACACATTATAAGGTGTCCTTCACTGTGGACAAAAGGTAGTTTAAGCAGTCATATTCATCCATGTGCCAGCTGGTTTTTTCACCGCATTCCCAAAGTGAGGATCTGAAAAAAAATCAGTGAAATGTGTAACCTTATTATCGCACAGAATGTGCCATGTCAAAATAATAATAATGCATTCTATATTAGAAAACAGAAGCTTAGGTGTCTGTTGGAAAATAACCATTTCGTATGTACAGTTCACTATTGTAGCTTTCTTTATTCATGATTATTAATGATAACCAAAATATTGGTTACCTCAAGGTTGAGAGCCGCTGTTCTGGTAAGGAGATGCGCTGACGGACTCGTATGGTGTAGGAGGCGTCTCTGTCATGTCTTCGTAGGTACTTGCCTCTGCTTTGGCCTCAACTGAAAACCATGACATTTCCTAAGAACATTTCATATATTGTATACCCTTCCAAACGTAATCGCAACGATAGATATAATTCCTGAAGTATGGCATGCCTTCACTACACTTATGATTGAGTGCTATAGTAATGTAAGAAACTGTATCCATCTACCGTTTGTATTCTCATACACCTTCAGCTGTGTGTAATGTTGTCTTTCCGAACCCTCTGTATCCGTGGTTGGGGACTGAGCTGGACTGTTGATGTGATCTGTAACAAATAAACAGGAACATATATTGTCAGACATCATTCCATTCAAAAAAGAACTAAAAACAGTTCTTTTCCACAGAGCATTCGACCAAGCGCCTTAGAGCAAACCTTGGATTCAGGCGCTATACAAATTTTAACATTATTATTATTATATATTCACGGTATCAGTACATCTCCCTGTCAGTGGCCATCTCGATATGTCTGACTAGAAATGCTGAACCTACCAAGGGATGAATATCCTGCTGTGTTTTCCATTCCTTCAGTTTCAGGATTTCTGGTGCTACAAAGGCAAGTAAGGTCGATTACTGAACATACCATGGAAAGGAACGCGTTAAATAATTGATGTTTATATCTGACTATAAATGGCTTCGTACGTTATCTCAAAGCAGATGATTTCAAAACGTTTTATTTACATGCTTTGCCTACCTTTTTGACGAAGCAGTTCCTGAAAGGAGAGAATACCTATTTAGTACCCCGAAATACAAACATCCCAAATGACGAATTTGGTATTTGGGAATTGTTAGAAAGGAAGAATGAGATATATGAAAGGATAACAATTTAATAAACAGCACCCTGCATATAAGCAGTCATTGGTGAAAAACGGTTCCTGTCATTGTTATTGATAGATTCAAGCTACAGGATGAGCTCAATGTGAACTTGTTAGTTCTTTATCAATAAAAGTGTGAATTGAAGGATCCATTCTGTAATTATCTCCACAACACGTCTTGATTCTACTTCAGATGCTTCTGAAATTTACCTTTGAAAATGTTTCCAAACCTAAACCCCTTCCTGTAGAGAACCGTTAGAACTAATCCTTCAATCAGCAAAGTAACAAGTAGGGTTCCTATTGTGGCGCCTACGATTACACCTGTCATGTTACAGTCGGCTTTGAGCGGTTCCGGGTTTGAGGGACCTGCAGCATAAAATGATAAAGACGTGAAGTATCTCTTGGTTCGTAAAGAAAGAGCTGACTTGTATTTTAAGCTGTTTGTTCTTTCCGTGCCACGTGCTTTATAAAGATTCTCACTACATCTAAACTCTACATCTTCCAAAGTGTCATACAAATAGTATCACACATACACGTATTCAAAAATACATCTGTCGATGGGAACTGCAATATTTACTTTACAGACACAGGATAGCTCGCGGTTTGAAAGGCTGATTACATATCACTATATCCTCGGCATAATATTAGGCAGGAGATCGTACACCTATATATTCGAAACCAACGATCTACCCTTCAAGTTAGTGGTTAATACATGTCAGATCAGTTTTAGAAACTGTGCGACAAAGGAACGGTACAAACACATTTCCCTTTAAGATTCATGGTATTCCTGGTTTTCATGGCATAGCCACGAACGTCAGGGATCAATCACACATAAGTCTTATCCTAGATACGTGTCCCTATTTGGAAAATTATAGACTTGTGCCTCCGGAAACAGTTAACGATACTAACAGCTGACGTTGAATGTCCTGACATCAGTGTAGTTGTATCCTCCATACTGCCACGCCCCCAGACACTGACACTGTTGACCATGTTGACTCCTGCTAACAGTAAAGGAGAGAGTAGATGTCCTTGTCTGACCACTGTCACTGACCGATGCAGATCCAGTGGCAGGACAGGACCACATGATCGTAGCCCTAGGATTTCCTCCTGTAACCGAGCAGCTGATTGTCTGTGGGTCTCCTTCAAACATCAGATCCGGAAACTGTGTGATGGTAGGAGGGACAGGCGGGGGATCTGAAACAGGAACAACCAAGTTAGCAACTATCAACCAACAAAAGTACAGATGTAACAGCAGAGCCCATGACCAAACTGATCTCAATACAATTAGCTCGGTATTTCCACACCCAAAGAAATCCCTTCATCCGATAGTATGCACAATGTATCCAAGAGTGATAACTCCTCTGTATAACACTCCTAGGCAACCCTGTTTATATTTCTCTGCAAATTCCAGAAGGTCTTTCGATGCACATCAACAGAATGAGAATATACAAAGGGAATACTGAAAATACTTAAGAATACTCACATTTCACACCTAGTGACACAGAACCAGTCTTAGTTGTCAAAGTCCTTGTGTTTCTGACCTGACATCTCACGGTTGTCTTGTCTTTGTTTGGCCTAAAGGTGAGAGTCTGGTACCACCAGGTAGAAGATCCTGTCACCGACCCCGTGCTGCCATCTACAGGAATTCCATCACTGTAGTCCCAGGTGAAGGTCACGTTGGGATAAGTGGAGGCAGTACAAGTCAAGGTCAGGTTTCTGTTCTCTACAGCGACAGAGTTGTCTGGTTTTGTCACATCAACCTGTTCTGGACCGACTGTAATACAGCACAATAATCTGTGGCGGCGGTGAAGGTTCTCTTACTGCATTAGTATTGACAGTCTGTTATGTGTCTACATGCACGTCAACATAGTTCAATATGTACCGAAATGTTTGATCTCCTTAGTTTATCATCGGCGTCATGTTGCTCAACTAGATGACGGCTGTCTGTTATATGTCTACATGCACGTCAACATAAGGTAAATATCTACCGTCAACAAGATCGATATGTACTGTAATGTTTAACCAAAATGTTTGATCTACTTAGTTTATCATCGGCGTCATGTTGCTCAACTAGATGACCGCTGTCTGTTATATGTCTACATGCACGTCAACATAAGGTAAATATCTATCGTAATAAGTCTCATAATGTATAACCAAAATATATTTGATCTTCTTAATTTATCATCGGTGTCATGTTATTCAACTAGATGACCGCTGTCTGTTTTATGTCTACATACACGTCAACATAAGGTAAATATCTATCGTAATAACTCTCATAATGTATAACCAAAATATATTTGATCTTCTTAATTTATCATCGGTGTCATGTTATTCAACTAGGTGACTCTATTCACTCAGTGTGGCAATTAGACAAGTATTGATTGGCTGACATGAGAACTAAACTACTACCTAATATACAACTCACACCATACTCCTATCCTGGCGCTGTCAGACTGCACTGGGGAGGGGTTGTGGATGTTGGTGGCGCGACAGTAGACTGTATGACCAAGGTCACCTCTGACAGGAGTGAAGGTCATTGTACTTGTGGTCTGGACAACACCTGATTGGGGTGTGTGATCAATGGATATCCCACTTGCCACCAGAACACTGTTCTTGTACCACGTGATTGTGGCAGCAGGGTAACTAGCAGATGCCACACAGGTCAAGGCCAAATGTTGACCTTCAGCAGCTCCCACTTCCTGATTGGCTGACGTGATGTTTGTTAGTGACACACTATTAACAGCAGCTGGATAGAAAGGGAATATCGTAAATACCGGTCATACCCGACATGTCAATATCGTAGGGATACAAAAAGTATCTCAACAGCATGCATGGCAGTTCAGGATATATCAATACATGTGCTTACTGTCAGGGAAGGAATAAGTAGAGTTGACTGTAGACTGAGTGTTGGAAGCCTGGCAGTAGTACAGAGAGTTCCTACTGTTGGAAATCAAACTGTTATCTAAACAGACATCCACATTACTTACTGTCAGGAAAGGAATATGATGAATTCACTCTCGTCTCTGTGTTTGATGCCTGGCAGTAGTACAGGGAGTACCTCCTGTTGCCTGTCAGCTGGTAGTTGATGGTGTCTGTCCAGCCAGTGTATCCCTCTACTGCTGCTGGGCTGGTGGACACTCTGGTTGGTCTCTGTACAGCGTCATGGACGGCGGTGGATTGGAGACTGCGACGCAGGTAATAGACGTAGTAGTTCTAGTAAGGCTAACACTGTTCAGAGGAACTGAAATAACACAGCTTTATGAAGTAAGCTGTCACCGTGTAGAAAGGTGGTGGGTGACAGACACAGGCGATAGATGTATTAGTTGTCAGAAAACAGAACCGAATAGCTTTATGAAGTATGGTGTCTCTGTGTATGAGGATGGTGGGTTGGAGACACAGATGACAGATACAGGAGGTTCAGTTATGGTAACACTGGTCAGAGAAACAGAACGAAATAGCTTTATAAAGTACAGTGTATCTGTGTAGGACGGCAGTCTTTCGGAAACACAGGCGATAGATGCAGTAGTTCTGGAGATGGTAACGTTGGTCAGAGGCAGTTACAATAATAGCACAGCTAAAGTACGAAACTACAGGTTTGAGCAATTGAGGGTTGAGGTTTGAAACCACAGGTGATGTGACATCCACCTCACATACACGGCACTTTTACCAAACGTCAGCATGACAAACGTACCAAGAACATCTATCTGTATTTGGTTACTCGGTCTGCCTCCAAACTGAAAGTCACACCTCCAGCTGAGTCTATCCCTGCCGTACACGACGTTGTTGATGGTGAGGGTGTAGTTGGGTGGAGCTGGGGCAGGAGGTGGTGTAGTCAGCTGGAAGCGGGAGGGAGGTGGAGCTGCAGCTACCCTGGTTTACTCTGTATAATAAACTTCCATTCTGCCACAGTATAGTTGTATGTGAAGCTTCTCCTGTGTAACACATCAGGGTACAGCTTCCTCCTGCCTGTACAGAACCTCCACATGATGACGTCAGCTGATAGTTCTGGGCAGAAACTGAAAGTTCACAGAACGATGTTCAACTGCATGGACATACTCTGTACGGAAGTAAACGACTTCAGAATCAGAATAACAACACATGACTATTAAAGACAAAGTCTCCTCTCTCCGGTAAACCACTTATCCGACTTATTCAGCACTGTTGTTGTCACTGAGGTCACCTCTTGTGTCATATTGTTTCACGATGGGAAGGAACATGTGTCCCAGTCATCCACAATTCACTTTGCGGAGTTGCGTCCCTTTAGGCGTGCTGGAAACGTATTCCCGTGGGTTCAAATACCAGTTCACCACATTATGTTTCTTGGCTTGTCAGCACCACACCTGTGTCCATAGGTTTCACCAAGGTAAATGTCCAAGCTGTGCATATATTCTGTCATGCCACTTAACCTAACACACCAATATACTTAAAACAGTATTCTTGTTATCCTAAATCTTAGGAAGCAAGTGTTTAACTCATTCGGAAGTTGGCAAAGCTAAATATTTCATCGGTATGTCTGACAGGCTAAGGAAATTGATTATTTGATCGATTTTGCTTTATGTTCCTAACCTTTACACTCTCTGTTTAGGCCACTTTGTGTATTATCAACGCTGCAGGTATGTAGCTGTCTGCCTGTCCTACCCGTTGACATATACGTACAATCTTTTATTGTATGTGACTGTATGTGTGGGACCCGAGGTGTGAGACTCGTTGCGTTGCCTCTAATGTATTGACAACTAAAACATGTAGGTAAGATACGTGTACATACCACGTTGATTGTGAGGAATGTCCACCAGTAGCGTCCCAACTGTGAAGATAAGACGGAGAGACAGCATGGACATGTTGGTGGTTTGTGTATAGCTTGATGTGTGTCATTCAGACGGGTATTCAGAGAAGTAGGTCGAGTGTCACACATACATTTAGCAGGCTGTGGAGTTGGGCGACAGTGTAGTTTTATCGATTTTATGATTGTGCCTGTGTAGACATGGCATTGAAAACACCTGGATATTCACTACAGGGTACATGTCGCTCAAATCAACTAGGTCGTGAGTCACATATAGTGTTGGGCGACAGTGTAGCTTTGTTGATTGTACAATGTGTCTGTGTAGACATGACATTGAAAACACCTGGATATTCACTGCAGGGTACATGTCGCTCAAATCAACTAGGTCGTGCGTCACATACAGTGTTGGGCGACAGTATATATGTGCACTTGCTATTTGTCTGAGTGTCAGTATATGTGTTTTAATATGTGGCTGTGTAGACGCTATATACCCATTGATGTAATTACCAAGAGTCGGTGTATATTCATACAGAATACCTGCAGATTTAATGTGTGACTTGAACTAGTTTCTAATACTAGTCTCTAAACAAACTTGTAGAACTCTTCAATATACCAGTCTCCAATGTTGAAGCAGTAGAGGGGGATTTCTCGAGTTTCACAACATATCACAACATGACAATGAATAAATGAAACACATACATATGCATTTGCATATAGCAAACAACAAAAGTGTCAAATCCATGGAGTTCAGTCTTTTTATCATTATATATGTGAAATCCTTGGTTTCTGTTCTATAAACATACCCTGGGACAATATAATACACACAAAACATGTAAATACATGTTAAAGAAACGATATAATAATGACGTGAATATTCGAGACCAATAGAATAATTTTGATTTGATCACAATTTACAAACACTGTTGGGTGTTTGAAGTTACACTACATGTGGACAAACCTAATACATGCTAACAAATGACACAGGTTACACAATGAAACATCACTTAGTATCCTGCAGTCGGACTCCTTAGCTCCGACCTTCTCTGGCCACACACCATGAAGACTGCATTTGGTCGTTCTGTGTAACCTGCAGTCGGCAGAGAAACACACAGAACCATGAACATTACCGTTTATTTAGACACGAGAGTGAGTGAGTGAGTTTAGTTTTACGCCACACTCAGCAATATTCCAGCTATATGGCGGCGGTCTGTAAATAATCGAGTCCTGACGACACAATTCAGTGATCAACAGCATGAGCATCGATCCGCGCAATTGGAAACCGATGACATGTGTCAACCAAGTCAGCGAGCCTGATCACCCGATCCCGTTAGTCGCCTCTTACGACAAGCATAGTCGCCTTTTGTGGCAAGCATGGGTTGCTGAAGACCTATTCTACCCCGGATTTTCACGGGTCTATTTAAACACGATGAAACCAAAACGAATATTACTTGGTCTCAGTATTGACAGGTCTAATCAATATGTCTGCGATACACTAGCGATAGACGGTATATATTCAATATCTATATTGGCAAACACGTAATATAACCTCCCAGCCCTATTCTGAAAGATCTGTTCTCCAGCGTGAGCGCTCATCTGATACTGAACTACCTGAGGGAAGTTGATCTATATCATAAAATGTAACTGTGTAATGTCACTAACGAATTTACCTGCTTTTCAATTTAATGCTATGACATTCTCTGTTCTAAAATGACAACGTAATGAATGTATGTCTTTGAAACGAAACCACTTTGTACTTACAATGTATATTAATGCAGACTTGTTCTCGTCACTTTATGGCTGGAATAATGCCGATGTGACGTAAAGCCCAACTCAACTCAACTCACCTATACTTGATGTTCACTCAGCATATATGATATACATGCAATACTTATATTGGTGGCAATAACAGCTCCCATCCGTACACAATCGAGGTAAACGATTTATATCCAGTATTCACACTAGAAGAGATAAACAGCTCCTCGTCGTTCACAGATATGTAACCACCATGACGTGGCTGCAGCATGTCGTCAGTACTTCGATAAATCTGGATTATGTCACAAACAACTTCGGGTAATTCACTTCAGCCAATATGCTGCCAGTCTGCAATATTCTGGTGGACGTGCGTAAGACCATTTCACACCACAGTAAGTACGAGTCGAGGTGTGTCACATCATCAGCAAGTGACTTCAGGTAACACAATGATCACTGTAACCTCATCCTTCTTTCATTTTACACAATGACATGTACGGAATCCTGTTTTGGACACAATCAAAGCCAGTTATATCATTATCTTGTGTGTACGCCCACCCTGAGCTCACCATTTCCTTTCCGGCAGGTGTTTACAAAGTTAATATATTTGTTTTATTCTGATAACTGTCAGTAGCTGTTTGTATAAGAAAAATATACACCAAGTTGTTAGCCATGATTAACTTCCGGTTGTGTTGTTTACGCGGGTTGTTTCACAGGCTGAGTTTTCCTGGTTGTTGTCTGGTAATATACACCCTACAGTAAACGCTGATTCCGATTGAAAGGACCGCCTATTGGCATACTTAAGGCTTAAAGATAGAAATGTTTAATGTTCTTGGATTGTTATTTACCCTTTAGCGGTAACTAATTTACTACTTCAACGTATTGACTTTTCCTCGATTCCCCTAGGTGTCTAGGATGATGTCAGTGTTATGCTAAGTATAGTGTCGAAGATTCTCCGAAAACTGGACAGGTTTGCATAACCGTTTGTCGTACCGGTCGGAGCCCCGTCCAACTCTGAAGAAAAAAAATGGTTAAACCGATGTCCGTCCGTGAAATCAAGTTTTGCTTTGTGGCAGTTGTACAACTGTTGGAATTAACACACACTATCTATTCAAACTAATTCAGCTGAAGTCACTTGCATATATTATACTACTCAAAGTTTGTTGAGATTCACAGATTCAGCCATTCATATTCTGTGAGTGAGTGAGTTTAGTTTTACGCCGCACTCAGCAATATTCAACTATATGGCGGCAGTCTGTATATAATCGAGTCTGGACCAGACAATCCAGTGATCAACAGCATGAGCATCGATCTGCGCAATTGGGAACCGATGACATGTGTCAACCAAGTCAGCGAGCCTGACCACCCGATCCTGTTAGTCGCCTCTTACGACAAGCATGGGTTACTGAAGTTCATTATTCTAACCCGGATCTTCACGGGTATCACATTCTGTGCATCTGTCGAACAGCAAAAGACAAACCTTCGTGAGATAGGTTAATGATACAAGGACATGTTTTTGTATGTTCAACAAAAACAAAGAACATATAAACAATTATGAGTCATATCACCTTTATAAGTAAACGGTTTTGACACAAACTGAAAAATATATACTCCCACAGCCTATCATCACCGTCTTTGGCCTCCCAATAGGTGTCAAGAAGGATGATTGTTCCACACGTCAGTGAGAAGTTTGAGGAGTTCTTGTAAAATCGTCGGATGGCCAGGACATTGTTAGAGGGTGACCTGCAGAGTATTCCACATGTGTTGAGGAGAGCTGATGTCTGATGACCGGAATGGCCACTCCGTGGGACAAGGGTCTCCTGCTCTGAGTAGGCATTAACGACCCTAGCACGATGAGGTATTTCTTTTTCGTTCGAGTCACTACACACCCAGATGTTAATTCTGTAGTGCACAATTATCCTCGTGCCTATTGCATGACTGGAGATCGGTTCTTCCAGCCCTACTGACACCTCACTAATTCATGACCGTTTCCCCTATACTGCTACCATACTATATTATGACATACTTGGTAGATCGGAGTTATACTGTTCTGTCTCTGTTTATGTACATATTTCCACGTAATCACCAAATGGATTTGTATATTCATTGTGTAAATATGTTGCTTTTTGCTTTGCGATAAAGTCACTAATAAATATTCTACCGCCCACAAAACCAACATGATTTGAATTTCTTTAAGCAAATGCGCATGTGTCATGGAACTTGTGAAGTAGTGTAAATAAAACGACAGTAACAAGGGCGTACTGTCTTGATAAGGAGCGGGCACCGCATGGCCTTGTCATTTGCCAGCACCTGAAAAGTAGATAACTTAATGTAATCAAACCTACAAATATCACATCAACTGATATATCACATAATACAAACGTATTAAGCTCGTACAGACGAGAAATCCTCCGTTGCTGTTGAAAGATTCAAGGACACAGTTGATCCATGACGATGACCTCAATTATCAGGAGTGTTTCATGGTTTGGTTACCTTGAGGATGTGCCCCAGTGTTCTGGTATGGCGATGCCCTGATGGACTCATAGGTCACAGGAGGAGTCTCTGTCACGCCTTCATAGGTACTTGTATCTGCTGCAGCATCCGCTGAAAATAGAATTCATTACATACTTCATCACCAAATACAAGTTGCAAATTGCAAGTCATTTCCTTGTACTGTCTCTCCCACAAGCTGACAATACATCTACGTGAAAACATGAGACTCAACAATATTGAGCAAATGACTCTACCTTTTGTGTTCTCATAAATCTTCAACTGGGTGTACTGTTGTTTTTCTGATTCCTCCTCCACATTTGAATAGTGTGCAGGAACAGTGATCTGATCTGAAACGCAATGTGATGGTTTAATGCCACCAGATCCAGAGAAGATGGTAATACAAACAGCAAGGAAACAAGCAATAACCAGTATATGAGTGTTATATCAACTAGAGGGAAACATACAATAATCAGTGACCTGTACATACCTAGAGATGAATATCCTCTGTTGTCCATTTCCACAGGTTCAGGTTGGCGGAAGCTACAAAATCAACAGGTAAGTTTGCAGGAATTGGACAACAAAATAAAAGGAATTGGGTGATTCGTCTCAGAATGTAAAATATAACTTAAATTTACTTTATAGTGTAAGTACGACCTTATTCCGTAGTTTTAGCTGATAGATGCTTTGTTTCATAGAACTTGAGCATTTAGATTACCTTTTACGTGAGGCTCCTGGAAAACAATAAAAGCACAAATGACATGTGAAACACAAACATAAACATTTCACATTAGTGGTAAACATGACAGGAAGAGAGAATGATATAAGTTACTGTGAATTACTGTAGATATACATAACCATAGATACATTACAAACATTGGCAGAACAAACCCTCCTCTCTTTGCCATCATGCAAAATCTTGACAACCAATGATTCACATATTGCAGACAATGCCATGTATCATACGTTTGGGAGAAGACCTACCTCATGTAAAGTGTCCTCAATCATATAGCAACAGGAAATTGACTATGTACCTTTTGGGATATTACCGAAGATGTACCCCTTTCTGTACAGCACCATTAGAACAGTTCCTCCGATGAGCAGGGTAAGAAGAAAGGTTCCTACTGTAGCTCCTGCTAATACCCCTGTACTGATACATGAAGAGTCGAGGTTTTGCTGGTCTGGTGGATCTATAATCAAAACAGCATAAAACCTGACTGCGAATGGTGTGCATTTGTGGTTCAATTGAGCCCTGTGCAATATTCTAGTGACATGACCTCGGGCTGTAAATATTCAACCAGACAAGGACTGACTTCATGACCATCGATTTGCTAAATGTGGACATGACAACAGGCATCAATCAAATCAGCGAGTCAAACCTCCAGAACCAGTTAGTCGACTTTTCCTGCTAATCGTACGTCGCTGCCACCAAGTGAAATGTATTTGTGTCCAGTTTTGCGCTGCCTCGTACAAATCTTGTTGCTTGTTGCCCTTGCATGTCGTGGGTTATAATATAGTACAACGTATAAAGCTCGCATTTTGGTTTGGTGTCCGCTTTATACCAGTGACAATCATGCTCACACTCGCCAACTAAAACCAGACATAAATGTTTACTTTGAATGCAAAGAACATGTAATAACTTCATCAGATATTAGCGAAAATATTCTTTGTAATTTTCGTTAAGTTCCAAGGGCATATTTACCACAGGATAAGTGATGCGGTAGTAAATATGTACACACAAAAATGTTCCATATACTTATATTATATTTGATAATTATATTTGTTCAGTCATTACATTTAACACTTAAAGCCTTGCCAACACCGGGCCGGATTCCATTTATCTAAATATGAAATAGGAAGTTGTTCTTGGACGGGATCCATACGTTTTCATCATTTGCAGCTAGCGAGTTTTCCATGAGATATTTTGAGTGATTCACGTTAGGTGGCACTTACCCCCTGCAGTCGTAGTTTCTACGAAGACATATGTGTCAGAATTCCCATAGTCATTTCTAGCTTGTAGTCGGAATATGTAAATCTCTCCTGGTGTAAGCCCAGTCACTTCTAACACCATCATATCGCCTGTGTCGCCATAAGAACTGTACATAATCCACGTTCTTGTAGCAAACTGAAGATACTCAATGAGAAACGTCTGAGGGCGTCCACCATTGACCCCAGGCAGCCACGACAACCATATTGACGACGTTGTTGCATTATCCAGATCTCTAAACTGCGAAGGTGTCTGCGGTGGTCCTTGCAACAAATAATCAGGAACTGTTTGTCATCGTTTCATCTTAGAATGTTGCACTGCTAAGTTAAATATTTGTGGAATTAACGTGAACGTAAAATTCGCAAACGACATTTGGAGATAGTTATCCATCAATAGGATATCGGCAACTCACCTGCAGGCGTTATGCTGACTGTGTATGTCACTGACTCGCCCACACCATTGTCCACTGTAAGACTGTAGTCCCCGAAGTCCTGCTGTTGGAGGTTAGTAAGATGTAGTCTTGCAGTGACTGAGATATCTGAGACAGGGCTTGAGGAACCAGTGAGGTCCTGGCTGGTGCTGATGGATCTACTCCAGGTGAATGTAGGAAGGGGGTAGGCCAGGACTGACACAGACACAGTCACGTCACCACCCAGTCCAGAGGCGTACTTGAGTTGCGGGGCTACTGTCTCAGCAAGTCGGGGAGAACCTTCCGGAAATCATTACTTAATGACTTAAAGGAAGATAAGAAGCTGTAAGTGTCACTTCCAGCAGTCAAAGCCACACTCCAAATATACAAATATTGTTCATATATAGAATATATGTATAATAAGAATTATTATAAGTGTATTGATACTATTACTCCGTTTTTGTTTTGTTCACAACTACAACTAATGCTAATACTGCTGCTACTATTGCTACTACTACTACTACTCCTCCTACTACTACTACTACTACTACTACTACTACAACTACACAGTAGTTGCAGTAGTACTGTAGACGGAAATAACTCACATTTGACCAGCAACTCCACCGTCTGGGTAACAGGTGCCCCGATGTTGTTGTTTGCAGTACATGTGTAGTTCCCCTCTTTGTCTACAGGCTGCAGACTCCAGTCTATATGATGCTGTCAGGGAGTTATCTGCCCTTGTCAACTCCTCAGTTCCATTTAGTAACCTGATGGCTGACTTTGGTTTGCCAGCATTATCCAAGTGACATCTGAAGGTCACTGTATCAGATTCATCGACAGCCACTGACCCACTGCGGGAGTTGCCAGTCATCATACTTATGCTTGCAGGATCTGAAAGATGACCAAGAAGTCTACACAGTACTTTGTGGTCATATTTGATTCAACAGGCATGTATGATTTGGGAATCCCGGGTGTGGTGTGTCTATTATCCGAATGTCCTTCTATCAACTTGAAGACTGAAGTGATGAAAATGGTATGGGATGACAGCAAGTTGTGAAGCCTAAATATACTGAACATCATTTAAAACGCATCACCTGTATTAGTTTGGATTTCCAAGAACATAAATGAGCAATCGGTGTTAATTTTACATACTTTTGTAGTCCAATGATTGGTAAAGAAAAGAAACAAGAACCAATCCAGCAAAACAGTGAAGTTTTAATTCAGCTGACCATGAAAGAAAGATGTATGATCACCGTTAGCAGCAACGTCTCCTATTGAACTGATAAGTCTCTGAATAATGTTTTGAGGCAATGCATTCCACTCTTGTTGCAAGGCTTTCTCAAGTTCCCCAAGGTTGTTGATCTGTGGGCGACGTGAGAGGCGTTGGCCGATGTAATCCCACATGTGTCCAGTGGGAGACAAATCTGGTGACAATGCAGGCCATGGAAGTAGAGGAATGTTGTTGTTTGCCAGAAACTGTTGCAAAACGTGCAGTGTTCGCTCAAGCATTTTCCTGCTGGAATGTTTGCAGATCCTGATGTTGGTTAAAGAAGGGAACGACGTTGTTCTGAAGAATGGTGTCACGGTAGTAAAGGGCATTCACTCTGCCACGACAAACTACCAGAGCGGTTTTGTGATGATAACTGATCACTCCCCACACCATAATGCTTTCTCCACCTCACCGAAGGGGTACAACACAGTCGTGATGGCAACGTTCTCCCCTTCGACGCCATACCCGTAGACGCCCGTCAGCATTTCGCAAGTGAAAACGTGACTCGTCAGAGAACACAACACCATGCCAACGTCGTACAACCACAAACGATGCTGTTCAGCCCATCGTCGGCATTCACGGCGATGTTTATCAGTCAGGATGGGTCCAACATAAGGGCGTCGACACCGTAATCCTGCCGCATGGAGACGGCGTCGGACGGTGGAAGCACTGATCAAACCACGTCGGGCTTGGACAGCGTTGGCGGTTCTGGGAAACGGCAACGTACGATCCCGAATATGGCGCCGAACAATGTCTCGATCTTGGCGAGGGATGGTAACACGTGCCTGGCCAGGACGTTGGCGGTCCCTGGTGGTTCCTGTTTGTTGGTACCTGTTGGCAAGTCTTATGATGGTGGAATGATGGCAACCAAATCGTCTGGCAATAATCCTGCTTGATGTGCCAACCTGCAACATGCCCAACGCCCGTTCTCGTTCCTCTGGTGACAATCTTGGCATTGCAAAATAAACTTTACTTGCCGAGGTACAGCTTAAATGAGAACGGTTTTTTGCCGACGGTCATTTATACCCCTAATCAGCATGTTTTATGCATGCAATTTGTGCTTTTCGTGTATGTTGTGCATGAATGTTGTTGTTGTCATGTGATGTGTTCCATGATGTGTTCGGGCAATCCGTTCTTTACTGTACATAATTATTTATTGTCTTTTGTGTTATTAACAACATTTCCAACGTTCATTTTCAATCTCAAAACAATCCTATTACCATATTTCAAAATTTACAGGTGGTGCGTTTTCACTGATGTTCAGTATATTTGCAGCCCCAATTTCCTTTTAATGTATTAATGTCTTTTACAAACTTTGTTGGGAGGAATGTTTTCCGGAAGTAGGGAGGAATAGGGTTTCAAGGCACAGGCACAATCTTTGAAAGGTATCACGTTACGTGATCATATTTACAACCATAGACATATAGTTATTTTTTACACGCATCACTCAACAACTGTGTAGAGCAACAGTTGGTAATCTGATGTTATTCTACACTTGTTAGCATCCACTTATCTAACAAATTGAAAAACATGTGTTGACAATATAGACACACTCAAAGTAATGGCCACCATACATCATGTGAATAATGCTATTGAAACAAACTGAGAACTGGTTTTTAATAACAGATGTTGATGAAAGACTCAATGTATGAGCGTTCAGTATAATTGTCACATGTGGCGTACATTTAAAATACCATTCGAACTTAAAAAGGAGACAAGACTGTAATTGAAATTCCCAGACCTTCCAGAACTAACAGTGTTGTCTGCCCCAGAGACTTTAGAACAGTTAAGAAAACTGGTTGAGCATAAAATGTGCTTTTATCTCATCTCACATTACACGAAGACCAGGAGTTCTTTGAAAATCACTTTTCACCTTGGATGCTCAGACAAGACCTATTTTAAAAGCTTGTCTACTGTTGTAGCGAGTTGAAAATTATCAACACTGTCCTGAATTCCTTAATTCCTGCTTTTATGATATGCTGCCCTTTTTTAACTTATAGTTACAACTTTGGAATCAACACCTAACAATTGGGTTCCTGATAATTGAGTTCTCCTAAGGCTGTTTCTGAAAACATACATGTGTCCAGTAGACAATACTCACATGTAACATCCACTGAGACACTTGAGCTGTCATCAGTCCCGTGTGTATTGGAAGCCTGACACTTGTAGGTTCCTGTCTGTGACCTGTCAGCCACCGGGAGAGTCAGTGTAGCTCCATCACTGTGGAGTGTCCGATTCTTGAACCACTTGAATGTACATGCAGGTTTGCAGATGGCTGAACACAGGATACTTGGTACACTCTCTTGACCTTCCCTCCTGGTGTAAGACAGAGTGGAAGGTTGTAGTACCACAGCATAGGGGCCATCTGTCAGAAAGGAAGAACAGTGAAACAGATTAAACCAATGTATGTACACACAGGTGGCTGAACACAGGATATTTGGTACACTCTCTTGACCGTCCCTCCTGGTGTAGGACAGAGTGGAGGGTTGTAGTACCACAGCATAGGGGCCATCTGTCAGAAAGGAAGAACAGTGAAACAGATTAAACCAATGTATGTACACACAGGTGGCTGAACACAGGATACTTGGTACACTCTCTTGACCTTCCCTCCTGGTGTAGGACAGAGTGGAGGGTTGTAGGGTCACAGCATAGGGGCCATCTGTCAGAAAGGAAGAACAGTGAAACAGATTAAACCAATGTATGTACACACAGGCGGGGGGACACAGGATACTTGGTACACTCTCCTAACCATGGTGTAGTGGAGGGTGCCTGTTTGTTGTTTAAAAACACTCAGCAATATTCCAGCTATATGGCGATGTGGAGGGTTGTAGGGTCACATTATAGGATCCATCTGTCAGACAGGAAGAAAAGTGGAACAGACTAAACTAATGTATATACTCTTCAAAAAAAGAAACTTGACATGCTGTTTTGGAGTTTACTTCCTGAGTGCATATAACTGATTCCAACATGACGTCATTGCTCAGTTACAGTAACATCTTCACTTTACAAATTTCCAAAACATGATTACACAGAAAGCGTTTGGTAAAACCACAGAGGGCTATTAAAGCCACTTGGTCAGAGTAAAATGTCAGTATTTTGGGTGACCACCATGAGCACTGATAACAGCTTGGCAGCGGTGACTCATAGAAGAAAGGAGATGCCGAATGCTGTCTCGAGGAACGTTTTGACACTCTTGCTGAAGTGTTGTGTGCAGTTCTTGTAGTGTCTGAGGTGGCGGATTACGCTGGCGCAAGCGTCGATCAAGAGTATCCCATAGATGTTCGATAGGGGACACATCGGGTGATCAAGAACGCCAAGGTAACACCTGAACATTGTTTTGCTGGAGGACGTCCTTCCAAATACGTGCAACGTGAGGCATTGTCATGCTCCAAAGATCAACCGTTGACCTTGATAAGTAAACGACGTGACGTTGAACGGGTCTTCTGGCAAAAAGTCTGGCTTTCCACAGCCAATTGCGCACTGTCTGGTCGAAGATTCTCCCAGATTGTATCACCTATTTCAGCACGGCTCCTTGGGGGCTGCATAAATCGCCTTACACGCGCATGCCGCGCGTCGTTGGATAGCTGTGTCCTGTGGCTACACGGAGAATGTTTCCGTTTGTTTTACGCAACTTTATAGCCGAGCAATTAAGGTTTCTGTGATTTTAAGCTGTGCGTTTTTCTTCCACGTAGGCCCCGGTGGAAGAAATTTGTTCCACCAGCCTCCTGTGGAAGTCGCCTGCGCCATGGCATTTTCAAGCCTTTTACTTTGTCATATCTATGCATGCTATACGTTCTTGGAAACCTTGGGAAACGCTCTCTCCAAATATACAAACGTGAATATTGTGCTGCCCTGGTAACCAGTCCAGATTGAAACTCCGACGTGATGTTTTGTGTAATTTTACTGAAGTTCAATTCTTCTGTGATATAGCAATTTTCGCCAACACACGCGCAGTCGTGATATAACGGCTACTATTCTTACAGATCACCTCAGAATATACATTTCTATAGCGCGTTTGAAAGCCTATTAA